ACATCCACTTACTGGGCACCTGCTGTATGGTGGGCCCTTGACTTCATTTAACTTGGTCCGCCCCATAACCCTGCCAGGTGGTCTCCTAATTGGAATATAAGGAGGCCAGGGCTCACTCCGACAGGGGACATGAGATCCCCAGGATCACTCACGATAAGCCATGGAGCTGGGATTTGAATCCAAGTCTGTGGGGTGTCAGGCCCCAGCCTGGGATAACCCACATCAGGGTCGGTCAGGGCTAGTTGGGGGACACCACCAACCACAGGTGTCCCCAGAGCAGACCACTTGCCTGGGGCATCCGTGGGCATCGGCCTTCTTGTCAAACAAGTAAACACCCATGAGTCATGGGGCCCTTGACTTGGGACCCAAACATATTGGAAACTCCCACCGTAGTGTTCAGGAACATGCCAAGCAAAGTTTGATTACAGGCCCAGAATAGAATGTCTCAGCCAAAAAAAAAAAAAAGATAATTGTTCAGTTACGTGAGAACTGAAAATAGAGGGTTAAGTTAGGCAAAAATATTTTTCATTATTATTTTGGGCCCTTCAGTCAGTACTATGTTCTTCTGAAGAGAAGAATGTCTGTGCCCTGAGGGGAATTCTCTTATCACACCATTGCTGACAGGGCTCAAAATATTTATTGAAAGTTTCAGCTGTCACTTCTATATAAATAAACAGGATGTGGACGGCCGACTGCATGTTAGAGATATTTTTAGACGGGGGTGGCTTTGCAGACGGGAGGGATAACATTTCAAGGAGAAAGTGCCTGATCCCAGAATAGCCCACCAGAGGCTCACCCTCCACGTGGCCTCAGTGCGGGGTCTGTGGAGTCTCATCTCCTGGGTCGGGGCCTCTTCCCTGTCCTGGCTGGCCAGCCTAGAGATGGCGACACCTCTTTCTAGGGACATCCCAGCCCCACTCCTCAGGCGCTGAGGATGGGGGACAATGTTCAGGATGGACTGTCTGTCACTGGTCCTGCTGACTGGTTTGGTTTGGTGGGCCTGAGGCAGAAGACAGTCATTCAAACCAGTGCTTACAACATGTAAGCCTGTGGCTCATCGACTTTGGGTTTTAACAGTACGTGACACATTCAGCTTTTACCCGGGCCAGGCACTTGGTAAGTGCGAGTTCATCTGTTCTCGGTGAGCCCCAGCCTGTCATGAATTCCTGCCGCTCTTTCCACTGGTGTTCTTACTTGAAACGCGAGTCCTTGCTCAGTTAGGAAGACCGCACACCCCGGTGGGCCCGGGTCCCCCTGCACTCCGGCTGCTGTCGCCTCGGCCTGCCCTCTCCCTCCTGGGGCCTCCCGTACCCTGCCCTTGCATGGGGACTGAGGGGGGCCCACGGTCCCTGTGCACTCACGGCAGTGACCCAGAGAGCAGCCAGGACAGGGAGAACAGTGGCAGAGTGGTTTGGAGGCTGACGGGAGCTGCGGTAGAGGGGGGCTAGGGTGCAGGAGACAGCCCAGCCTTTTCCATGCAGCCTTTTCAGGCCTCCTTGGGTAGCTCCTCAATGTTGATCTGTAGTCTCTGCTCCATGTACTCACTTTCTAGATCAAAAATCAGAAAGACCAGAAAAGTATTCTTTAAAGATCCTCCTTTTTACTGTTTATGGAGCTCTCCATGTGTTACGTTCCTCTGACTGAAAAACTCGAGCATTTCTTATAGCCCAGATCTGCCGACAATGAATTCTCTCAGCTTCTTTTCTTCTGGAAGAGTCTTTAGTTCAACTTGGTGTGTGAAAGCTATGTTTGCTGGGTGTGGGATTCTGGGCAGATGGGGGTGTGTTCCCACCACCACTACCAATACTTTGTCACTCCGTTGTCCCCTGGCCTGCACAGCCTCTGGTCAGAATTCTGCTGACATCCTGTCATCGCTCCTCTGTACGTGTTTTTCTTCTCGACAGACTCTAGGATTTTTTCTCTTGGATTTTTTTCTTTATCTTTGGTTTTCAGCTGCTCGTTTGAACTTGATGGGTCTGTGTGGCTGTTTATCGGCTGTTGCTGTCGCTTTGGCTTTTGCCCTGCTTAGGGTTCTCTGACTTCTTGGATTTGCAATCTGATATCTCACTATTTTTGGAAATTTTTCAGCCGTTTGTCCCTTTACATACTTTTTCCACCCCGTTTCTTCTCCTCCTTCTGGGACTCAGATTACAAGTTGGAGTTGATATCATTGGCTGTGTTATTAATTCACCACAAGGGTGCTCTGTTTTTTCTCTTTGTGTTTCCGTTTGGGTAATTTCTACTGACCTACCTTCAGGTTCACTAATTCATTCCTCAGATGTCAGGTCTGCTGATGAGCCCATCAAGGGAATTCTCTCTGATACTGTGTTTGTTTGTTCTCTAGCATTTTTCTCTGGCTTTCTTACAGCTTGCATCTCTGCGGAAATTCTCTGTGTCTATTGTCTGCCTTCCCCACTAGACCCCTTTATCATATTCATCTTTTGGAGGTCCCTGCGTGGTAGTTACAACATCTGGGTCATCTCAGAGTCTGATTCTGTTGATTGATGTTTCTCTTGACAAGGAGTTGCTTGGTTTCTGTTGCTTTTGAATGAAAAGTTCATGATTCTCTATTGAATACTGAATATTCGTGTATAGGACAGCAGAGACTGAGGTAACCAGTGTTTCTATCTGGAAATGGGTGAGCCTCTTCTGCCAGGCTGTTCAGGTGAGGTCTGAGTCAATCTGGTCGGGAATTGGGCTGGGCTTGGGGTTTGTGGTTGCATGGTTACTTTCAGAGCACCACAGGCCTCCGTACCTCTAGCAACAGGCTCCCATTGCCTTGTGCTCAGAGTTGGGGCTGGTGAAGTGTCCTCAGTGCAGTGTCCCATCCTGCATGCCTGGGCCACACAGTGGGCCTCTCCCCACCTTGTCTGGGCGGCAGATGGCTACTACTTGTTATTGTGCTATTCCTGTTATTCTGTGCCCATAGAATAGACAGGCCCATGCCTTCGAGCCCCTCCCCGTGGTGGCCAAACCCTGCCCTGTATCTGTGGGGTCTTGGCTGGGAGATTCCTGCCCCTCTCCCAGTGGCAGGAGACCTCTGTTTGGTATCATGCAGGATCCTAGGCCCAGGATGGGTTCCTGCTGCTCTCCCAAGGGAAAAGAGTCTTTTCCCCATCCTTCCGTCAGCCACAGTGCATCTTTCTTATGCCCTGGGGCTGACAGGCTGTACCATCCCTCCCTCAGCAGCTTCAGGCTTTCGCTTCCCAGAAGAGAAGGGCCTGGGAGTGTTGGAAGGGCTATGGGTCTGTTCGCCACAATCCACTGCTCTTCCTCCAGGGGTCTAAGGCTGTCAATTCTTACATGAGAAGTATTCAGGAAATGTGGAGTGTTTGTGCCTGGCCCCACGTGGCAGCCGGTCTCCTGCCTGCCCCTAATCTTTCTCACGAGCAAGAGCCTCATGGGAAGAAGCGGTGAGTTACAAAACCACCAGTGTGTCTGGGGCCCCAGAAATTCCAAACTGACCTTCTAGCCCACAGTTGGCCTTTGGCAGTTTGTTACAAGTGGGTTTCTCCTCGTGTCTGGTGTGGCAGCTGTGGCTCGTTCCCATGCTCTGCCCCAGGTGGGACAGTCCCCGCATTGCTCGGCCTTGAAAGAAGTTACTTCACTGCTTTGCAGTCTCTGCTCTCTGATGGATTCCAGAAAACATATTGTTTTTTAGTTTCTTTGGCCTTTTTTTTTTTGGCTATCATTCAGGTAAGAGCAACATTCTTTGCAGCTTTCTACCTGATAAGCAGAAGCAGAAGTGACTCACCTTCTGGAAACTACGTCTTCATTTCCCCCAATGTTGAATCTTCATGTATTAAAAAGTAATTTACTCAAAGCATTAAACATAGAACCACCATATCTGGTGTTCTGGGTGTACACCCAAAAGAATTGAAAGCAGGGTCTTCAAGAGACGTTTGCCCACCCATGTCCGTACCAGCTGTGTTCATCACAGTCATAAATGTGGAAGCAACCCAGGTGTCCATTGACAATGGATAAACAAAATCATTCAGAATATGATTCAGCCTTGAAAAGGAAGGAGATTCTGACACCTGCTACAGCGTGGATGAACCTTGAGGGCACTATGCTCAGGGAAATAAGCCAGTCACAAAAAGACAAATACTCTATGATTCCACTTACCTGACGTCCCTCGAGCGGTCACACTCAGAGACAAAAAGTCGAATGGTGGGTGGGGAAGGGGGAATGGGAAGTCAGGGTTTCATGGGGGACAGAGTTTCTGTTTGGGAAGGTGAGAAAGTTCTGGAGACGGACGGTGCTGAGGGCTGCACGACAGCATGAGTGCATTTACTGCCACCGAACTGTGCACTTACAAATGGCTAAAATAGTAAAATAAAATTGTGCTATTTAAACTTTACCACAATAAGAAAAAAAGGAAGAAGAAAACAATTGACTGGTATCTGCCATGTGCCGAGAGCTCTTCTGGGCCCTGGGACTACAGAGGTGAACAAAACAGACCCCGTCCTCATGGCACTTATACCCGATAAATAAAACAAATATGTCCCTCCATAAATGAGGAGTGACGAGCGCTGTGGGAAACACCAGTGAGAGTGGGCAGATGGGGGCTGGGCGATAAGGCCCCACGGGGAGCCCTGCCTTCCAGGCCAAGGGGCATCCGTGGGGTGAGGCTGGAGAGGCTGCGATTGGTGCACCGATGGCTTGTTGACCCAGGCCGCTGTCTGAGCGCGCTTGACTGGCCCGCCCCGCCCTTTAGGCTGCCCTTGCATGTGGCACCCCAGTCCCTGGAACCCCGGAGGCAGGGAGGGACGGCCCTAAGCCCCAGCTCACCTTCCAGGGTCTGGGCGCGTGCAGGACATCTGGGGAGCCCCCACGACACCATCTGGGGTCTCCCTCTTCTAGAGCCAGGGCCGCTGCCACTGGGCCTGGACTTCCGGGGGTGCTGGCCACGGTGGGGGACGGGCCGAAGAGCCCCCGGCTGGGTCCTCCCGTGGCCCTCGGCCCCCTCGGGGGCTGATGAGCTGCTTTTCCATCTGCAGGAGCTACGGAGAGCTCACAGACTGCACCAGGCAAGTGGCGGACCAGCTGGACTGCTTCTGGCCAAACGCGGCCGTGGACCAGTTCTTCGTGGCCATCCACCGGCACTACTTCAGAAACTGCCCCGCGTCCGGCAGGGCCGTGCGGGACCCGCCCCGAAGCATCCTCTGTCCCTTCATCGTGGTGCCCATCCTGGTGACCCTGCTGGTGACGGCGCTGGTGGTCTGGAGGAGCAAGCGCCCGGAGGGCATCGTGTAGGCGCGCGGCCCCGGGGGCAGGCGGGGCGGGCGGGGAGCCCCGGCCTGGCCTGGGGAGAGCTTCCGGGGCCCGGACGGCAGCACAGGCCCCCAGCCCCCCTCCTCTCCCCAGGAAGAGCTATCGGGATTTCGGGGTGGTTGCGGTACACGCGTTAACCTGAAAGGCCAGAGGTCGAAGCCACCGGGGTGGGGGTCCCAGGGGGTGGGGTGGGGGCAGGAGCGCAACCGTCGCTATTCCCGGGGAGGGTCCCAAGCTCTGTCTCCTAATGTCCCAGCCTCAAGCCAGACTCTGGATAAGTAGTTCGTGGTGATTAAAAGGATGTCCTCAGGGGCGTCTGGGGGGCTCAGTCGGTTAAGCGTCTGCCTTTGGCTCAGGTCATGATCCCAG